AAAAAAAAAAAAAAAAAAAATCGAGAGAAAACATAATCAATGCACATATATTCGGTTTAACTCAGCAACTGCCTCGTGACACAGGCGTCGCTCATGAATTCTGCAAGTGGTGCACGTAGTGGTGTCTTAAAACGGGGCTGCACGGGTCAAAGAGAACAGCACACGTCTCCAAATCCAGCGTGAGCCATAAGGAGCGCATTTACCCGATGAAAATATAGCGTTAGGGGCAGCATCATCGCCCCCCTGCAACCCTCTCCTCTTATCCAGGCCCCATGTGCCGTAAGCCGGCATGACAAACAGTGTCAAATTTAGCGAGGAAAGCAAAAAATATATTATTAGATGTTGGCTGGGTGATGGGAGAGGACAAGACGACTTCACACACACACACACAAAAACCCCCCTAATGCTTTAAACTCTCCACCCCTTATATCTGAAATGGAATCCGACAAAGAGCTCAATTTATCGTCCTCATGAGGTCCTGATGGGCATCCGTGGACCCCAACACAAGGACCCGCGGTCGGAGCCTCATTACAGGCTCTGCCTCGCTTGATTTTTTATTTTTTTTTAAAGTTGTTTCCCCACATGCAGCATAAAACAGCTCCGGCTGGTCAACTCCAAATAAGAAGAAACAAGTGTTTGTAGTGAGCAGGAATAATTAGAAACCTGCCTGGTCTAGAAGCCGTCTCTCTGGTGCTGGGCTTCCAGGCAGCTTAAAGGCTGCTCGGCCTGCTTGTTAGGGCTCCAGTCAGCAGCGTGCGGGGGTGCGCATGTGTGTGTGTGTGTGTGTGTGCGTAAACGAATGTGAGTTAGCGAGTGTGAATCTAAATTTGATTTGTGCTGTGTCAGTGCGTCTGCCTGCATGATGAACACACGTCACGAGAGACGCAGCCCAGAGTGTTTCTATGTTTTTTGGTGTAAATGTGTCGACAGCGCACGTGTTCGTATGTCTGTGTGTGTGTATCTGGATATCTGGTCTTAGTCCCACGCTGGGAATAGTGATGTGAAGTGAGTGTGTGTGTGTGTGTGCAGTTGGCAAGTCTGAACTACCTGCCTTCAAACTCCATCCCACAGCTCGTCTTTTTATCCCGTCAGCGAGGAATTCTGCACAAACACACCCATTCAGGAAGCAGCAGAGTAAAGAGACCAATGAGCAACGTCCACGTGAGACATTACATGTCATCTTAGATTTTATTCATTTCACTTGTTTGTTTTTGAGACCCAGAACTAGAGAGTTGTGAAATGTTTTGGCTGAATTTTGAGATTTATTGTGTTGAATCAGTTTCTCTGTTCTCTGGGTTAATTTTAAATATATTTTTGGGAACATTCAGTTACGCAAAACAAGCCTCATGCTTATTAAATTTAAACATGAACACAACATGAAAGCAGCTTGTAATTTTGCACATTTAATGACAACATATAGACCCAGATGAACACCAGTTTTTGTGCTCATACCAAAAGCAAAATAACAATAAATAGCAAACAAAAGGAGCCTCATCTGGCCATACAGGCAACACATTGAATTTTACTAATGTTGGAAGCCTCAAAAGTTGGTCAAATGTCAACCAAACATTATTTTACTGTATTTATAGCAGGAAATATGGCTACATGTCTCTCTGTATATACGCTCACAGGAACTTTCTGGGGCCAAGTAACTAAAAATGCGGCCTCTGCTGGAGCCATTCGATCGCCTGCTGTGGGAGTTATAATCCTGGAAATACTGAACTCTTATAATGGCTTTCCAGGTGAGATGGGTGAAAATACAAAAAAAATTCCCCAGGTGAGGTAACATATGAAATTCTCAAAATTCAGCCAAAAATATTTGACAGAACTTAGCTTTTGGGTCCCAAATAGCAAAATGTGAGCTGGTGCAACAACTGATTTGACACAGGCTGACCCGTCATTGTTTAGTATCGAGATACCGTCACACACCGGAGCTCGGGCAGCTTGATTATTGATGGCAGCAGCGTAACTAGCGCCTCCCCATCCATCTCTTTTGCTCTTTCTGCCCGTCCAGGCCCCCCCCCCCCCTTTGTGCAGAGTGATTGGCAGCTAATGAGGCGGGCACGGTTTGGTCAACTGTGGCAGGGGTTTGTTTGTGTCTC